AAGTGCTCCTGGGTTGACATGCCCCTGGTCATCCTACAAAACGTGGCAGAGCGACTTTATGGGGACATGGCTTCATTAAGGTGAAGTTTTTGCCTCCTAATACCACTCCTCTCCTGCAGCCCATGGACCAGCAGGTTATTTCCAACTTCAAGAAACTGTACACAAAAGCTCTGTTTGAAAGGTGCTTTGTAATGACCTCAGAAACTCAACTGACTCTAAGAGAGTTTTGGAGAGATCACTTTAATATCCTCAATTGTGTAAACCTTATAGGTAAGGCTTGGGAGGAAGTGACTAAGAGGACCTTGAACTCTGCTTGGAAGAAACTGTGGCCAGAATGTGTAGACAAAGGGGATTTTGAAGGGTTTGAGGCTAACCCTGAGAATCCTGTGCCAGTTGAGGAATCCATTGTGGCATTGGGAAAGTCCTTGGGGTTGGAGGTTAGTGGGGAGGATGTGGAAGAGTTGGTGGAGGAGGACAATGAAGAACTAACCACTGATGAGCTGATAGATCAACTTCAAGAGCAAGAGGCCAGACCTGGGGAAACTGGTTCAGAGGAGGGGAGGAGAGAAATTGAAGAAGTTCCCTTTACTACAAAGATAAAGGAAATCTGTGCAAAGTGGCTTGAAGTGCAAACCTTCATGGATGAAAATCACCCTCACACAGCTACACAGCTATTGCAAGCCGTGTTGGCAACCTGTACACTGACAATGTTGTGAAACACTTTAGGGAAGTGATAAAGGAACGAGAGGTACAGGCCACTATGGACAGATATCTTGTGCGAAAGAAGTCCAGTGACTCTGAAGCTGGCCCTAGTGGCATTAAAAGAAGAAGGGAAGTAACCCCAGAAAAGGACTTGCTACCTCAAGTCCTAATGGAAGGGGATTCCCCTTCTAAACAGTAAGAAGATAATGCTCTCCCCTCCTCCCATCCCATCAATCATCACCAGATCTTCAATAAAAGTAAGTGTCATGTAAGTGTGCATGCCTTTTTCAGTTTGTGTGTATTAAAATTAATATTTCATGTGGTAAAAAAAATTTTTTTTCATACTTTTGGGTGTCTTGCACGGATTAATTTTATTTCCATTATTTCTTATGGGGAAAATTCATTCACATAACGATTATTTCGCATAACAATTACCCCCTCTTGCACGGATTAAAATCGTTAACCGGGGGTCCACTGTACAGTGGACCCCCGGTTAACGATATTTTTTCACTCCAGAAGTATGTTCAGGTGCCAGTACTGACCGAATTTGTTCCCATAAGAAATATTGTGAAGTAGATTAGTCCATTTCAGACCCCCAAACATACACTTTACAAACGCACTTACATAAATACACTTACATAATTGGTCGCATTCGGAGGTAATCGTTATGCGGGGGTCCACTGTATATGCAATTATGTCAAGTGAAACAAGTGTGAGAGTAATGGTGGTTGGGGATTTCAATGCTAAAGGGGGGTAAAAATGTTATGTAGGGAGTAGTAGGTAAATTTGGGGTTGCCAGGGGTAAATGTAAATGGGGAGCCTTTAATTGAGCTATGTGTAGAAAGAAATTTGGTAATTAAGTAATACATATTTTATGAAAAAGAGGATAAATAAATATACAAGGTATGATGTAACACGTAATGAAAGTAGTTTGTTAGATTATGTATTGGTGGATAAAAGGTTGATGGGTAGGCTCCAGGATGTACATGTTTATAGAGGGGCAACTGATATATCGGATCATTATTTAGTTGTAGCTACAGTTAGAGTAAGAGGTAGATGGAAAAGAGGAAGGTGGCAACAAGTAAGAGGGAGGTGAAAGTGTATAAACTAAGGGAGGAGGAAGTTCGGGCGAGATATAAGCGACTATTGGCAGAAAGGTGGGCTAGTGCAAAGATGAGTAGTGGGGGGTTGAAGAGGGTTGGAATAGTTTTTAAAAATGCAGTATTAAAATGGGGCAGAAGTTTGTGGTTATAGGAGGGTGGGGGCAGGAGGAAAGAGGAGTGATTGGTGGAATGATGAAGTAAAGGGTGTGATAAAAGAGAAAAAGGTAGCTTATGAGAGGTTTTTACAAAGCAGAAGTGTTATAAGAAGAGCAGAATATATGGAGAGTAAAAGAAAGGTGAAGAGAGTGGCGAGAGAGTGCAAAAGGAGAGCAGATGATAGAGTGGTAGAGGCACTGTCAAGAAATTTTAATGAAAATAAGAAAAATTTTTGGAGTGAGTTAAACAAGTTAAGAAAGCCTAGGGAAAGTATGGATTTGTCAGTTAAAAACAGAGTAGGGGAGTTAGTAGATGGGGAGAGGGAGGTATTAGGTAGATGGCGAGAATATTTTTAGGAACTTTTAAATGTTGAGGAAGAAAGGGAGGCGGTAATTTCATGCACTGGCCAGGGAGGTATTTCCATCTTTTAGGAGTGAAGAAGAGCAGAATATAAGTGTGGTGGAGGTACGTGAGGCATTACGTAGAATGAAAGGGGGTAAAGCAGCTGGAACTGATGGGATCATGACAGAAATGTTAAGAGCAGGGGGGAATAGTGTTGGAGTGGTTGGTACTTTTGTTTAATAAATGTATGAAAGAGGGGAAGGTACCTAGGGATTGGCGGAGAGCATGTATAGTCCCTTTATATAAAGGGAAAGGGGACCAAAAGAGATTGTGAAAATTATAGAGGAATAAGTTTACTGAGTATACCAGGAAAAGTATACGGTAGGGTTATAATTGAAAGAATTAGAGGTAAGACAGAATGTAGGATTGCGGATGAGCAGGGAGGCTTCAGAGTGGGTAGGGGATGTGTAGATCAAGTGTTTACATTGAAGCATATATGTGAGCAGTATTTAGATAAAGGTAGGGAAGTTTTTATTGCATTTATGGATTTAGAAAAGGCATATGATAGAGTGGATAGAGCAGCAATGTGGCAGATGTTGCAAGTATATGGAATAGGTGGTAAGTTACTAAATGCTGTAAAGAGCTTTCATGAGGATAGTGAGGCTCAGGTTAGGGTGTGTAGAAGAGAGGGAGAATACTTCCCGGTAAAAGTAGGTCTTAGACAGGGATGTGTAATGTCACCATGGTTGTTTAATATATTTATAGATGGGGTTGTAAAGAAGTAAATGCTAGGGTGTTCGGGAGAAGGGGTGGGATTAAATTATGGGGAATCAAATTCAAAATGGGAATTGACACAGTTACTTTTTGCTGATGATTTCTGTGCTTATGGGAGATTCTAAAGAAAAATTGCAAAGGTTAGTGGAGGAGTTTGAAAATGTGTGTAAAGGTAGAAAGTTGAAAATGAACATAGAAAAAGAGTAAGGTGATGAGGGTATCAAATGATTTAGATAAAGAAAAATTGGATATCAAATTGGGGAGGAGGAGTATGGAAGAAGTGAATGTTTTCAGATACTTGGGAGTTGACGTGTCGGCGGATGGATTTATGAAGGATGAGGTTAATCATAGAATTGATGAGGGAAAAAAAGGTGAGTGGTGCGTTGAGGTATATGTGGAGTCAAAAAACGTTATCCATGGAGGCAAAGAAGGGAATGTATGAAAGTATAGTAGTACCAACACTCTTATATGGATGTGAAGCTTGGGTGGTAAATGCAGCAGCGAGGAGACGGTTGGAGGCAGTGGAGATGTCCTGTCTAAGGGCAATGTGTGGTGTAAATATTATGCAGAAAATTCGGAGTGTGGAAATTAGGAGAAGGTGTGGAGTAATAAAAGCATTAGTCAGAGGCAGAAGAGGGGTTGTTGAGGTGGTTTGGTCATTTAGAGAGAATGGATCAAAGTAGAATGACATGGAAGCATATAAATCTATAGGGGAAGGAAGGAGGGGTAGGGGTCGTCCTCGAAAGGGTTGGAGAGAGGGGGTAAAGGAGGTTTTGTGGGCGAGGGGCTTGGACTTTCAGCAAGCGTGCATGAGCGTGTTAGATAGGAGTGAATGGAGACGAATGATACTTGGGACCTGATGATCTGTTGGAGTGTGAGCAGGGTAATATTTAGTGAAGGGATTCAGGGAAACCGGTTTTTTTCATATAGTCGGACTTGAGTCCTGGAAATGGGAAGTACAATGCCTGCACTTTAAAAGAGGGGTTTGGGATATTGGCAGTTTGGAGGGATATGTTGTGTATCTTTATACGTATATGCTTCTAAACTGTTGTATTCTGAGCACCTCTGCAAAAACAGTGATAATGTGTGAGTGTGGTGAAAGTGTTGAATGATGATGAAAGTTTTTTCTTTTTGGGGATTTTCATTCTTTTTTGGGTCACCCTGCCTCGGTGGGAGCGGCCAACTTTTTGGGGAAAAAAAAAAAAAAAAAAAAAAAAAAAAAAAAAAAAAAAAAAAAAAAAAAAAAAAAAAAAAACTAATTCAGTATAATATATACTGCAGCTATTTAATAAATCATGCATTTGAGTGAATGCTGGTGAATGTGTTTTCTTCTTAGGTCACCCTGCCTTAGAGGAAAAAAACTACCAAAGCACATAAGACTGCTTACCCTTGGGTGATGAGAGGATAATACTTCTCTGGAGGTATATGAGCCAATCTGTGTCTCAAGTTGTGTAGTGGTAAGATGATGGTCTTGCTCTCTAGCAGCTGACGTCGGTGAAGACCTCCACCAAAAAATTCTCCTTCCACCACCATCACACTTGAAATTATACAGCTCAATTTTTCCAATTATTTTTGATAATTTTGAAGACAAAAAAATCAAAATAGAAACTTTTAACCAATTTCATAAAGCTTTTCACTTTTGTAACATTACATAATGAATATCTCATTTAAGAAGTTCTGTTGGTTAGTTTTAAAGATTTAAAATTTTATTACAAAAATTATACATTACAAAAAATAGAGTTAACAAATGTAGAGAATCTGAAATTGTGTGTAGAGCATTTCAATAAAAGTTAAACCAAAATTCACAACTCACTTACAAATTGTAGACAAAATGTGTTTCTCCAATGGCATTTTCCAGACTTTTTACAACACTCACTGTTATAGAAAGAGGCCTATAATTCAAAGGGTATTTAATATTATGGTGCTAATGGTTCCTTTATATTAGTTGGGGATATAAATACAAGAACCAATAATTTCCCAAACATACTTAAGAAAGGGTTATGCCAATCAGCAAAAGTGAAGATGTAAAATAAATAAATAATTACAGATATAAGCAACTATTGGCAGAAAGATGGGCTAGTGTAAGTATGAATAGTGGGGGGGGGGGGTGAAGAGGGTTGGAATAGTTTTAAAAATGTAGTATTAGAATGTGGGGGCAGAAGTCTGTGGCTATAGGAGGGTGGGTGCAGGAGGAAAGAGGAATGATTGGTGGAATGATGAAGTAAAGGGTATGATAAAAGAGAAAAAAGTAGCTTATGAGAGGTTTTTACAAAGAAGAAGTGGTTTAAGAAGAGCAGGTACATGGAGAGTAAAAGAAAGGTGATGAGTGGTGAGAGAGTGCAAAAGGAGAGCAGATGATAGAGTGGGAGAGGCATTGTCAAGAAATTTTGAGGAAAATAAGAAAAAAATTTTGGAGTGAGATAAACAAGTTGAGAAAGCCTAGGGAACGAATGGATTTGTCAGAGTAAAGGAGTTAGTAGATGGGGAGAAGGAGGTGAATATTTTAAAGAACTTTTAAATGTTGTGAAGAAAGGGAGCCAGTAATTTCATGCACTGGCCAGGAAGGTATGACACCTTTTAGGAGTGAAGAGCAGGATGTGAGTGTGGGGGAGGTGCATGAGGTATTATGTAGAATGAAAGGGGGTAAAGCAGCTGGAACTGACGGGATCATGAGAGAAATGTTAAAAGCAGGGGAGGATATAGTGTTGGAGTGGTTGGTATTTCTGTTTAATAAATGTGGGTCTTCGGCAGGGATGTGTAATGTCATAGATGGGTTTGTAAAAGAAGTAAATGCTAGGGTGTTGGGGAGAGGGGTGGGATTAAATTATGGGGAATCAAATACAAAATGGGAGTTGACACAGTTAATTTTTGCTGATGATACTGTGCTTATTAGAGATTCTAAAGAAAAGTTGCAAAGGTTAGTGGACGAGTTTGGGAGTGTGTAAAGGTAGAAAGTTGAAAGCGAACATAGAAAAGAGTAAGGTGATGAGGGTATCAAATGATTTAGATAAAGAAAAATTGGATATCAAATAGGAGAGGAGGAGTATGGAAGAAGTGAATGTTTTCAGATATTTGGGAGTTGATGTGTCAGCGGATGGATGTATGAAGGATGAGGTTAACCATAGAAGTGATGAAGGAAAAAAGGTGAGTGGTGCATTGAGGTATCTGTGGAGACAAAAAACATTATCTATGGAGGCAAAGAAGGGAATGTATGAAAGTATAATGGTACCAACACTCTTATATGGGTGTGAAGCTTGGGTTATAAATGCTGCAGCGAGGAGGCAGTTGGAGGCAGTGGAGATGTCCTGTCTAAGGGCAATGTGTGGTGTAAATATTATGCAGAGAATTTGGAGTGTGGAAATTAGGAGAAGGTGTGGAATTAATAAAAGTACTAGTCAAAGGACTGATGAGGGGTTGTTGAGGTGGTTTGGTCATTTAGAGAGAATGGATCAAAGTAGAATGACATGGAGAGTGCATAAATCTGTAGGGGAAGGAAGGCGGGGTAGGGGTCATCCTCGAAAAGGTTGGAGGGAGGGGGTAAAGGAGTTTTTGTGGGTGAGGGGCTTGGACTTTCAGCAAGCATGCATGAGCATGTTAGATAGGAGTGAATGGAGACGAATGGTTTTTGGGACCTGACGAGTTGTTGGAGTGTGAGCAGGGTAATATTTAGGGAAGGGATTCAGGGAAACCAGTTATTTTTATATAGCCAGACTTGAGTCCTGGAAATGGAAAGTACAATGCCTGCACTTTAAAGGAGGGGTTTGGGATATAGGCAGTTTGGAAGGATATGTTATATATCTTTATATATGCTTCTAAACTGTTGTATCTGGGAACCTCTGCAGAAACAGTGATTATGTATGAGTGAGGTGAAAGTGTTGAATGATGATGAAAGTATTTTCTTTCTTTCTGGGTAGCCCTGCCTAGGTGAGAGACAGCTGACTTGTTGAAAAAAAAAAAAAAGTATGAAAAAGGGGAAGGTACCTAGGGACTGGCAGAGAGCATGTATAGTTCCTTTATATAAAGGGAAGGGGGACAAAGGAAATTGTAAAAATTACAGGGGAATAAGTTTATTGAGTAAACCAGGAAAACTGTACAGTAGGGTTATTTTTGAAAGAATTAAAGGTAAGACAGAGAGTAGGATTGCAGATGAGCAAGGAGGATTTAGAGTGGGTAGGGGATGTGTAGATAGTGTTTATATTGAAGCATGTATGTGAACAGTACTTAGAGAAAGGTGGGAAGTTGTCATTGCATTTATTGATTTAGAAAAGGCATATGATAGAGCAGATAGGAGATCTATGTGGCAGATGTTCCAAGTTTGTGGAATAGGTAGTAAGTTACTAAATGTTGTAAAGAGCTTTTATGAGGATAGTGAGGCTCAGGTTAGGGTGTGTAGGAGAGAGGGAGATTACTTCCCGGTAAAAGTAGGTCTTAGACAGGGATGCGTAATGTCACCATGGTTATTTAATATATATGGGGTTGTAAGAGAAGCAAATGCTAGGGTGTTGGGGAGAGGGGTGGGATTAAATTATGGGGAATCAAATACAAAATAGGAGTTGACACAGTTACTTTTTGCTGATGATACTGTGCTAATAGGAGATTCTAAAGAAAAGTTGCAAAGGTTAGTGGACGAGTTTGGGAGGGTGTGTAAAGGTAGAAAGTTGAAAGTGAACATAGATAAGAGTAAGGTGATGAGGGTATCAAATGATTTAGGTAAAGAATTGGATATCACATTGGAGATAGGGAGTATCGAAGAAGTGAATGTTTTCAGATATTTGGGAGTTGACTTGTCAGCGGATGGGTTTATGAAGGATGAGGTTAACCATAGAATTGATGAAGGAAAAAAGGTGAGTGGTGCGTTGAGGTATCTGTGGAGACAAAAAACGTTATCAGTGGAGGCAAAGAAGGGAATGTACGAAAGTAGTAGAGTGGTACCAACACTCTTACATGGGTGTGAAGCTTGGGCTGCAAATGCTGTAGCGAGGAGGCGGCTATAGGCAGTAGAGATGTTTTGTCTAAAGGCAATGTGTGGTGAATTATGCTGAGAATTTGGAGTGTGGAAATTAGGAGGAGTTATTAGTCACAGGGCTAAAGAGAGGTTGTTGAGGTAGTTTGCTCATTTAGAGAGAATGGATCAAAGTAGAATGGCTTGGAGAGCATATAAATCTGTAGGGGAAGGAAGGTGGGGTGGGGGTCGTCCTAGAAAAGGCTGAAGGGAGGGGGTAAAGGAAGTTTTGTGGGCGAGGGGCTTGGACTTCCAGCAAGCATGTGTGAGTGTGTTAGATAGGAGTGAATGGAGACAAATAGTTTTTGGGACCTGACGAGCTGTTGGAGTGCGACCAGGGTAATATTTATTGAAGGAATTCAGGGAAACCGTTTATTTTTATATAGCCAGACTTGAGTACTGGAAACGGGAAATACAATGCCTGCACTTTAAAGGAGGGGTTTGGGATATTGGCAGTTTGGAGGGTTATGTTATATATCTTTATATATGCTTCTAAACTCTTGTATCTGGGCACTTCTGCAAAGACAGTGATTATGTGTGAGTGAGGTGAAAGTGTTGAATGATGATGAAAGTATTTTCTTTTTGGGGGATTTTCTTTCTTTTTGGGTCACCCTGCCTCAGTGGGAGATGGCCAACTTGTTAAAAAAAAAAAATTACAGTCTGTTTTCTAACTTGCCAGTAATAAAAAAAATCTCAAAAACAATACTACACAAAGAAATAAATGTATTCATAACTAAACAAAATATTCTTAATACTTGCTAGTTTCATTTCTGGATGGAAAAAAAGTATAAATGATGCAATAATAAAAAATGAAAATTAGACACATGTGCATCTTGTCAGTACAGTATACCATTCATGTACAATAATAAAAATGCCTGACTCAATCTATTCATCACTAGAAAATAATGAATATGAAATGGGCATTTTTACTGATAAAAGAAAAGCTTCTGAAACAGTAAATTATAATGTTTCACAGCTTAAACTAGACCATTTCAGAATCAGAGGCCATGCTCTCACATACATAAAAGTTCTACTCTACTGACAGACACTTAACATGTGACCATTAATGACAAACTTCATCAACACAACCTGTTAATATAGGGATGCCTTAGGGCAACATCCTAGGCTCCCTATTTTTCCTTATCTACATCAATGACCTACTTAATGCCTCCCAGGAACTTAAACCAGTTCTGTTTGCAGATGACATCTTTTCTCATCCGAAATCTAGACTTGGTTGTCCTCAACAACACAGTTAATGATGAACCTAGAATGACATGTGCTTGGCGGACAACCATCAAACTCACACTCAATATTAAAAAGTCTTTTAACACAGTATTTGGAAATAAAGAAAAAAATATTCAATTGAATATAATGGTAAATAGTATACACAATGAAAAACAACATGAGCAAAAGTTCTTAGGTATAAACATTGATAGCAAACTAAAATTCGATGTTCACATCTGGTACATATCTAAGAAAATTTCTAAAACATTGGGCATTGTTTCAAAAATACATTACTTTGTTCCTGAAGAAAGACTTGGCAGACGATGCACCATCCCCCCAATGAAAAGCAGGGGTGTCACTAGCACGTTAAGAGACCATACAATAAGTGTCAGGGGCCCGAGACTGTTCAACTGCCTCCCAGCACACATAAGGGGGATTACCAACAGACCCCTGGCAGTCTTCAAGCTGGCGTTGGACAAGCACCTAAAGTCAGTTCCTGATCAGCCGGGCTGTGGCTCGTACGTTGGTTTGCGTGCAGCCAGCAGCAACAGCCTGGTTGATCAGGGGCTGATCCACCAGGAGGCCTGGTCACAGACCGGGCCGCGGGGGCGTTGACCCCCGAAACTCTCTCCAGGTAAACTCCAGGTAAACTGTACTTCTCTCTCACCTATTCTTACCTCACTTATGATATGGGGCTAATATATCAATTTACCTTACTCAAGCCTCCCTCCTGCACCACACTGATTTTTTCACTAGAAAACAACCATACAATTACAGATTTCTGATAAATGGGGGTTCCATTATTAAAATAATGGAGAGCACTAAACCTGTGAAGGTTGCTTAACAGTCTACAACAGAGGTGAAAGAAACAGTGGGGAGTGGAGGAGTGCTCAGGGAAGAACATCAGCTGAGAGAACATTTCAGCTACTCTGAGGCCAATTTCAAGCTACTTCCAGTCCTGCAACTACCCAAAATCATCTCTATTTCATTAGTAATGTCTTCCATCATATCAAATGATACAAGAAACCAACAATAAAACCATCCTATCTTTAATCCAGATACAAATGTCAAGAGTTTTTCTTTTCCCATCATGTACTGCCTGAGGCAGGATTTTTTTTATACAGTGCACACTCACCACACAGACCCATTCTCTCATAACTATGCAAAAATTTACCACTCACAGCTTATCTGAGTAAGCTGAGCTCAAGATGAAGATCTACATGAGGGACCTTGGCCTCAGTAACACAGATCTACATGACAGATAGTGAAAGGGTTAACAGTTTTTAGGACTGGTCTGAGATCTAGCTATGGGAAAGATAATCCAAAGAACCAATAACAGGTATACTTAAAGATAATACAGTGGTACCTCGGGATATGAACAGCTCAAAACTCAAACAATTATGTAAGTGTATTTATGTAAGTGCTTTTGTAAGTGTATTTTTGAGGGTCTGAAATGGATTAATCTAATTTACATTATTCCTTATGGGAACAAATTCATTCTGTAACAGCACTGGAGCAGCCTTCTGGAACACATTAAATTCATATCCCGAGGTACCACTGTATATATCCGCTCCACATTTATACTGTACATCTAAACAGTCATATCTAGGCACCTCTGCAAAGACAAGTGATTGTGTGTGAATGATAGTGAAAGTGTTTCTTTCTTTTTTAGGCCACCCTGCCTCAGTGAGACAGAGCTAGTGTGTTGAAAAAAAAAAAATTTTAATCATATACAGTATATCCTGTATATGAGGTAAAAGCTTGTTTTACAATGTAGCACTGTAATAAAAATCACCTGGGGAGTGTAAGTATGGCTGGTTTGATTCGAACAAGTTTCTGCTTCTTGAGTTCTTGTTCTACATTACCCCCGGCCAACTGCCATAGATGGTACACTTCCCTCAAAGGACGCTCACTCAACTTGTCTCTCTTGCCCCCTCTGTAAATAAGGACAGGACTTTTAATTATTAAATTTTGTACTGCTTGTTCTAATAAGTAATGTTACAATCAGTACTGCATAAAGCATTAATGTATCATGTCAAAATTTGTCAGCAGAATTCCAATGCATAATTTGAATCATTACCTAAGTTCAGGTCTTTCACCTTCTTGAAGAAAGTCATTGTCAGGCGTTAGTGGATAATCTTTAAGTAAATCTCCCTCATGTTCCATCGCTCCTAACTTGGCCTATAAGTAAATAATGACAAAAACTCTATTACCTAGCATTTAATAATTATATGATAAAACAGTTTCCTTTAAAAATAACATCATTAACCTAACTTAACTCATTCAAAACAATTTATTGAATAAAGAGAAGCAATATTTCATTTAAGTCAAAAATTTATACAGCACTACTACTACTACTACTACTACAGTGGTACCTCGAGTTATGAACTTAATCCGTACCAGAAGGCTGTTTGAGTGCTGATACCAAACGAATTTGTTCCCATAAGAAATAATGTAAAGTAGATTAGTCCATTTCAGACCCCCCAAAAATACAATTACAAAAGCACTTACAAAAATACACTTACATAATTGTTCGAGTTAGGAGCTGTTCGAAACTCGAGGTACCACTGTACTCACCTTTCTGAAAACTTTGTGAACTTCTATATTAAGATCTGTATACCACAATTTACATAAAGAATTTTAACACTGTATTTTATTACCTGATACTGGCTTGTCTCTCTGCTCACAGAACATCGATCAAAATCAATCGCGTGCCAAAAAAATATGATCCCTTCCTGTCAAGTTTTATTCATTTAACACAGAACAAATGCACTATAAATAACAAATGACAAAAATAAAAATACTTGACATACCTTGTAGTGTGCAAAATCTACTAAGCAGAGCGAGGGCTCAATAACTGGGAAATGAGGGGGAACAGGTATGAGAGAGGCTGAAATAACAAAGGGCCGGAAAAGTGAGTGAGACAGAAGATTGCGGGGTACTGGTCGATCTTCTGAGTCTACTGTCAGGCAGAGGCGTAGGAAGGTTCTCATTTCATCAGATAAGGCCTGCATTGTAAAACAAAAGCATTATTTACTAGGTCTGTATGAATATAGTATGACTGTATGTATATAGGTATGTTTCTTATGTATATATTTGTATGTATGTTATGTCATGTATGTATGTGTTTGTATGTTATGTATATACATTTCTGTGTATGTTAAGTCATGTGTACATTTTATTTTAACACATCGGCCATCTCCCACTGAGGCAGGGTGACCCAAAGAAAGAAAAAAGCACTTTCACTATCATTCAACACTTTTGCCATCATTCACACAAAATCACTGTCTTTGCAGAGGTGCCCAGATATGAGAGTTCAGATGTCACTCCAAACAGCCAATATCCCAAACCCCTCCTTTAAAGTGATAGTATTGCACTTCCCACCTCCAGGACTCAAGTCCGGCTAACCAGTTTTCCTGAATCCCTTCATGAAATATTACCCTGCTCACACTCCAGTAGCTTGCCAGGTCCCAAAAACCATTCGTCTCCATTCACCCCTAGCTAACACGCTCATACATGCCTGCTACATGTCCAGGTCCCTTGCACATGAAATGTCTTTCACCCCCTCCCTCCATCCTTTCCTAGGACAACCCCAACACCCCTCCTTCCCTCCACTACAGATTTATACGCCCTCCAAGTCAACCTATTTTGCTCCACCCTCTCTAAATGACCAAACCACCTCAATAACCCCTCTTCAGCCCTCTGAATAATACTTTTAGTAACTCCACACCTTCTAATTTCCACACTATGAATTCTCTGCAACATATTTACACCACACATTGCCCTTAGACACGACATCTCCACTGCCTCCAGCCTCCTCCTCACTGCAGCATTCATAAACCATGCTTCACACCCATATAAGTGTGTTGGTACCACTATACAGTACTTTCGTACATTTCCTTCTTTGCCTCAATGGATAACGTTCTTTGTCTCCACAGATACTTCAATGCAGAACCCACCTTTTTTTCTTCATCAAATCTATGGTTTACCTCATCTTTCATAAACCCATCTGCTGACAAGTCTACTCCCAAATATCTGAACACATTCATTTCTTCCATATTCCCTCCCTCCAATCTGATATCAAATTTTTCTTTATCTAAATCATTTGATATCCTCATCACCTTATTTTTATCTATGCTCACTTTCACTTTCTTCCTTTACACTCCCTCCCAAACTCATAAGAACATAAGAAAGAAGGAACACTGCAACAGGCCTACTGACCTATGCGGAGCAGGTCCATGTCCCCCCCCCCTGGATTAGACCAATGACCCACCCCCCCTGGATTATCCCAATGACCCACCCAGTCTGGTCATCCCCACTCAAGGATGGAGCACTGCACCAGACCCAGCAGCACAAGCTATTCAGGTCCAACTCACACCCACCCTCACCCACTCATGTATTTATCTAACCTATTTTTAAAACTACACAACATTTTAGCCTCAATAACTGTACTCGGGAGCTTGTTCCACTCATCCACAACTCTATTACCAAACCAGTGCTTTCCTATATCCTTCCTGAATCTGAATTTTTCCAACTTGAAACCATTGCTGCGTGTCCTGCCTTGGCTGGAAATTTTCAGCACACTATTTACATCCCCTTTATTTATTCCTGTTTTCCATTTATACACCTCGATCATATCCCCCCCTAATTCTACGCCTTTCGAGAGAGTGCAGATTCAGGGCCTTCAGTCTATCCTCATAGGGAAGATTTCTGATATACGGGATCATATTTGTCATCCTCCTTTGCACGTTTTCCAGAGCATTTATATCCATTCTGTAATACGGTGACCAGAACTGAGCAGCATAGTCTAAATGAGGCCTAACCAAGGATATATAGAGTTGAAGAACAACCAGAGGACTTCTATTATTTATACTTCTAGATATGAAGCCAAGAATTCTGTTAGCTTTACTGCGAACACTAATGCACTGTTGTCTTGGTTTTAGGTTACTGCTAACCAGAACTCCTAAATCCTTTTCGCAATCGTAGTATTAAGATCTACATTATTTAGTTTATATGTGGCATGGTTATTTAACTGTCAAACATTTAGAACTTTGCATTTGTTAATATTAAACTGCATCTGCCACTTCTCCGACCATTGCGTCAGTCTATTCAAATCATCCTGGAGTGCTCTGTCCTCATTAGAATGAATTGGATGGCTTATTTTGGTGTCATCATCAAATTTGCTTATGTCGCTATTTATTCCCTCATCTATGTCGTTTATGTAAATTGCGAACAACAACGGGCCCAACACTGACCCCTGAGGAACACCGCTTGTGACGTGCCCCCATTCTGATTTCTCCCCATTTATGCAAACTCTCTGCTGTCTATTTGTCAGCCATGCCTCTACCCAGGAAAAAATTTCTCCTATTCTGTGTGCCCTAAGTTTCCTCAATAGCCTCTGGTGTGGAACTCTATTGAAATCCTTACTGAAGTCTATATACACAATACCATATTCATTACCATGATCTACCTCCTCAAACACCTTAGTGAAAAAAGTTAGTAAATTCGTAAGACAGGAACGCCCCTTTGTAAAACCGTGTTGAGAATCATTAATCAATCTGTGCCTGTCAAGATGGCTACGAACTGCTTCGGCAATTATTGATTCCATGAATTTTCCCACTAACCTTTGTAACTTCTCTTTAAAATTTCCCAAAAGCAGTGTCATCAGCAAAAAAAGCAACTGTGTCAACTCCCAATTTGTATTTGAATCCGCATAATTTAATCTTACCGCCCCCCCAACACCCTAGCTTTTACTTCTTTTATAACCCCATCTATAAATATGTTAAACAACCATGGTGACATTACACATCCTTGTCTAAGACCTACTTTTACTGCGAAATAATCTCCCTTTTTCCTACACACCCTAACCTGAGCCTCACTATCCTCATAAACCCTCTACAGCATTTAGTAACTTACAACCTATTCCATACACCTGCAACATCGGCCACAATGCTCCCTTATCCATCCTATCATAAGCATTTTCTAAATCATTAAAAGCAATGACCACCTCTGTACCTTTATCTAAATACTGTTTACTTATATGTTTCAATGTAAACACTTGGTCTACACATCCCCTACCCATTCTAAAGCCTCCTTGTTCATCTGCAGTCTTGTTTTCCATCTTACCTCCAATTCTTTCAATAATAACCCTACCATACACTTTACCTGGTATATTCAGCAGGTTTATTCCCCTATAATTTTTACACTCTCTTTTGTTCCCCTTACCTACATATATAGTACTTTCTTCTTTCTTTCAACACACCAGCCGTATCCCACCGAGGCGGGGTGGCCCAAAAGGAGAAACGAAAGTAAAAGGAGAAACGAAAGTTTCTCCTTTTACATTTAGTAATATATACTGGAAAAGGGGTTACTAGCCCCTTGCTCCCGGCATTTCAGTCGCCTCTTACAACATGCATGGCTTACGGAGGAAGAATTCTGTTCCATTTCCCCTTAGACATAAGAGGAAATAAACAAAAACAAGAACTAGAGAGAAAATAGCAGAAAACCCAGAGGGGTGTGTATATATATGCTTGTACACGTATGTGTAGTGTGACCTAAGTGTAAGTAGAAGTAGCAAGACGTACCTGTAATCTTGCATATTTATGAGACGGACAAAAGACACCAGCAATCCTACCATCATGTAAAACAATTACAGGCTTTCGTTTAACACTCACTTGGCAGGACAGTAGTACCTCCCTGGGTGGCTGCTGTCTACCAACCTACTACCTTTATCTATATATATACTTCTTTCAACACACCGGCCGTATCCCACCAAGGCAGGGTGGCCCAAAAAGAAAAACGAAAGTTTCTCTTAAATTTAGTAATTTATACGGGAGAAGGGGTTACTAGCCCCTTTCTCCCGGCATTTTAGTCGCCTCTTACAACACGCATGGCTTACAGAGGAAGAATTCTGTTCCACTCTCCCATGGAGATAAGAGGAAATAAACAAGAATAAGAACTAGAAAGAAAATAGAAGAAAACCCAGAGGAGTGTGTATATATGTGCTTGTACATGTATGTGTAGTGTGACCTAAGTGTAAGTAGAAGTAGCAAGACATACCTGTAATCTTGCATATTTATGAGACTGACAAAAGACACCAGCAATCCTACCATCATGTAAAACAATTACAGGCTTTCGTTTAACACTCACTTGGCAGGACAGTAGTACCTCCCTGGGCGGTTGCTGTCTACCAACCTACTACCTTCACCTATATATATACTTTCTTCTTCTTTCAACAAACCGGCCGTATCCCACTGAGGCAGGGTGGCCCAAAAAGAAAAACAAAAGTTTCTCTTTTTAAATTTAGTAATTTATACAGGAGAAGGGGTTACTAGCCCCTTGCTTCCAGCATTTTAGTCGCCTCTTACAACATGCATGGCTTACGGAGGAAGAATTCTGTTCCACTTCCCCATGGAGATAAGAGGAAATAAACAAGAATAAGAACTAGAAAGAAAATAGAAGAAAACCCAGAGGGGTGTGTGTATATATGCTTGTACATGCATGTGCAGTGTGACCTAAGTGTAAGTAGTAGCAGCAAGACGTACCTGAAATCTTGCATGTTCATGAGACAGAAAAAAGGACACCAGCAATCCTACCATCATGTAAAACAATTACAGGCTTTCGTTTTACACTCACTTGGCAGGACGGTAGTACCTCCCTGGGCGGTTGCTGTCTACCAACCTACTACCTTCACCTATATATATACTTCTTCTTTCAACATACCAGCCGTATCCCACCGAGGTGGGGTGGCCCAAAAGAAAAAACTAAAGTTTCTCCTTTTAAATTTAGTAATATATACAGGAGAAGGGGTTACTAGCCCCTTGCTCCCGGCATTTTAGTCGCCTCTTACGACATGCATGGCTTACAGAGGAAGAATTCTGTTCCACTTCCCCATGGAGATAAGAGGAAATAAACAAGAACAAGAATTAGAAAGAAAATAGAAGAAAACCCAGAGGGGTGCGTATATATATGCTTGTACATGTATGTGTAGTGTGACCTAAGTGTAAGTAGAAGTAGCAAGACATACCTGTAATCTTGCATATTTATGAGACAGACAAAAGACACCAGCAATCCTACCATCATGTAAAACAATTACAGGCTTTCGTTTTACACTCACTTGGCAGGACGGTAGTACCTCCCTGGGCGGTTGCTGTCTACCAACCTACTACCTTCACCTATATATATACTTTTTTTTTTTTTTTTTTTCAACAAGTCGCCGTCCCCCACCGAGGCAGGGTGCCCCAAAAAAGAAAGAAAATCCCCAAAAAGAAAATACTTTCATCATCATTCAACACTTTCACCACACTCGCACATTATCACTGTTTTTGCAGAGGTGCTCAGAATACAACAGTCTAGAAGCATAAACATATAAAGATACACAACATATCCCTCCAAACTGCCAATATCCCAAACCCTCCTTTAAATTTGCAGGCATTGTACTTCCCATTTCCAGGACTCAAGTCCGACTATATGAAAATAACCGGTTTCCCTGAATCCCTTCACTAAATATTACCCTGCTCACACTCCAACAGATCGTCAGGTCCCAAGTACCATTCGTCTCCATTCACTCCTATCTAACACGCTCACGCACGCTTGCTGGAAGTCCAAGCCCCTTACCCACAAAACCTCCTTTACCCCCTCTCTCCAACCCTTTCGAGGACGACCCCTACCCCGCCTTCCTTCCCCTATAGATTTATATGCTTTCCATGTCATTCTACTGTGATCCATTCTCTCTAAATGACCAAACCACCTCAACAACCCCTCTTCTGCCCTCTGACTAATACTTTTATTAACTCCACACCTTCTCCTAATTTCCACACTCCGAATTTTCTGCATAATATTTACACCACACATTGCCCTTAAACAGGACATCTCCGCTGCCTCCAACCGTCTCCTCGCTGCTGCATTTACACCCAAGCTTCACACCCATATAAGAGTGTTGGTACTACTATACTTTCATACATTCCCTTCTTTGCCTCCATAGATAACGTTTTTTTGACTCCACATATACCTCAACGCACCACTCACCTTTTTTCCCTCATCAATTCTATGATTAACCTCATCCTTCATAAATCCATCCGCCGACACGTCAACTCCCAAGTATCTGAAAACATTCACTTCTTCCATACTCCTCCTCCCCAATTTGATATCCAATTTTTCTTTATCTAAATCATTTGACACCCTCATCACCTTACTCTTTTCTATGTTCACTTTCAACTTTCTACCTTTACACACATTCCCAAACTCATCCACTAACCTTTGCAATTTTTCTTTAGAATCTCCCATAAGCACAGTATCATCAGCAAAAAGTAACTGTGTCAATTCCCATTTTGAATTTGATTCCCCATAATTTAATCCCACCCCTCTCCCAAACACCCTAGCATTTACTTCCTTTACAACCCCATCTATAAATATATTAAACAACCATGGTGACATTACACATCCCTGTCTAAGACCTACTTTTACCGGGAAGTAGTCTCCCTCTCTTCTACACACCCTAACCTGAGCCTAGGTAGTAGGTTGGTAGACAGCAACCACCCAGGGAGGTACTACCGTCCTGCCAAGTGAGTGTAAAACGAAGCCTGTGATTGTTTTACATGATGGTAGGATTGCTGATGTCTTTGTCTGTCTCATAAATATGCAAGTTTACAGGCATGTCTTGCTACTTCTACTTACACTTAGGTCACACTACACATACATGTACACATTTATTTATACACACTCATCTGAGTTTTCTTTGATTTTTCTTAATAGTTCTTGGTCTTATTAATTTTCCTTTTATATCCATGGGGAAGTGGAATAAGATCTTTCCTCCGTAACCCATGCGTGTTGTAAAAGTCAACTAAATGCGGGAACAATGGGCTAGAAACCCCCTTTTTCCTGTAAAGATTACTAAAAAGAATAAGAAGAAGAAAATTGTCAAAGTGGGAAGTCTGAATGTGCGTGGATGTTGTGCAGATGAAAAGAAAGAGATGATTGTGGATGTTATGAATGAGAAGAAGCTGGATGTCCTGGCTTTAAGTGAAACAAAGCTAAAGGGGGGTGGGAGAGTTTCAGTGGAGAGGAATAAATGGGATTAGGTCAGGGTTTCAAATAGAGTAGAGCTAAAAAAGGGAGTAGCAATAATGTTGAAGGATAAGCTATGGCAGGAAAAGGGGGACTATAAATGTATTAATTCAAGGATTTTTGTGGAGTAAAATAAAGTTTGGGATGTGAAAAGTGGGTTATAATAAGCGTGTATGCACCTGGAGAAAGAGAAGTGTAGAGGAGAGAGAGAGTTTTTTGGGAAATGTTGAGTGAATGCGTGGGGAGTTTTGAATCAAGTGTGAGAGTAATGGGGGTTTTGGGGATTTTAATTGCTAAATGGGTAAAAATGTTATGGAGGGAGTAGTAGGTAAATTTGGGGTGGCCAGGGGTAAATGTAAATGGGAGCCTTTAATTGAGCTATGTGTAGAAAAAAATTTTGGTTTAATAAGTAATACATATTTTATGAAAAAGAGGATAAATAAATATACAAGGTATGAAAGTAGCACGTAATGAAAGTAGTTATTAGATTATGTATTGGTGGATAAAGGGTTTATGGGTAGGCTCCCGGATGTACATGTTTATAGAGGGGCAACTGATATATCGGATCATTATTTAGTTGTAGCTACAGTTAGAGTAAGAGGTAGATGGGAAAAGAGGAAGGTGGCAACAACAAGTAAGAGGGAAGTGAAAGTGTATAAACTAAGGGAGGAGGAAGTTCGGGTGAGATATAAGCGAATATTGGCAGAAAGGTGGGCTGTGCAAAGATGAGTAGTGGGGGGGTTGAAGAGGGTTGGAATAGTTTTTAAAAAAGCAGTATTAGAATGTGGGGCAGAAGTTTGTGGTTATAGGGGGGGTGGGGGCAGGAGGAAAGAGGAGTGATTGGTGGAATGATGAAGTAAAGGTGTGATAAAAGAGAAAAAGGTAGCTTATGAGAGGTTTTTACAAAGCAGAAGTGTTTTTAAGAAAAGCAGAGTATATGGAGAGTAAAAGAAGGTAAAGAGAGTGGTGAGAGAGTGCAAAAAGGAGAGCAGATGATAGAGTGGGAAGGCACTGTCAAGAAATTTTAATGAAAATAAGAAAAAATTTTGGGGGTGAGTTAAACAAGTTAAGAAAGCCTAGGGAAAATATGGATTTGTCAGTTAAAAACAGAGTAGGGGAGTTAGTAAAATGGGGAGATGGAGGTATTGGGTAGATGGCGAGAATATTTTGAGGAACTTTTAAATGTTAAGGAAGAAACAGAGGCAGTAATTTCATGCACTGGTCAGGGAGGTATACCATCTTTTAGGAGTGAAGAAGAGCAGAATGTAAGTGTGGGGGAGGTACGTGAGGCATTACGTAAAATGAAAGGGGGTAAAGCAGCTGAACTGATGGGATCATGACAGAAATGTTAAAAGCAGGGGGGGATATAGTGTTGGAGTGGTTGGTACTTTTGTTTAATAAATGTATGAAAGAGGGGAAGGTACCTAGGGATTGGCAGAGAGCATGTATAGTCCCTTTATATAAGGGAAAGGGGACAAAAGAGACTGTAAAAATTATAGAGGAATAAGCTTACTGAGTATACCAGGAAAAGTGTACGGTAGGGTTTATAATTGAAAGAATTAGAGGTAAGACAGAATGTAGGATTGCGGATGAGCAAGGAGGTTTTAGAGTGGGTAGGGGATGTGTAGATCAGGTGTTTACATTGAAGCATATATGTGAACAGTATTTAGATAAAGATAGGGAAGTTTTTATTGACATTTATGGATTTAGAAAAGGCATATGATAGAGTGGATAGAGGAGCAATGTGGCAGATGTTGCAAGTATATGGAATAGGTGGTAAGTTATATATATACATATACATTTATTTATTTTTAACACACAGGACATTTGTTTGAAACAAACAGCTATTACATTCCAGAATACTGAATTATTTCATATCATTGACTGTATGCTTTAGACCTTGCAGTTCTCATATTCAAATCTTCTATGAACTTACATCAATCTTTGCAACAGTATCATGAGTTTGTGCCAAGTAGAGGAGTGGATCACTTGCCATAGATAGTCTTAACACTTCAGACACTAATTGTTTTACATTTTCACACCTGGAAATAAATAAGAAAGCTTAAAATTGTGCTAATGTAGCTTCATTCATAAGACACAAAAAATTTATTGGAAAAAAATATGTACTATAAGTAATGAAGGATTCAGCAAAATTAGTCAACATAAAAAGTGAATAAAAGATAAATGAAAATACCAGAAAGACATTTTCACATGTGTGATTAATTCTGTTCAAAAATTACCAGTAAAATGTCACTCATACACACACACAGTGCAGTAAGAAAAGGAATCAGGAAGAGAGTCAGTGACGAGATGATGAAGTACCAAGTTGGAAAGTGCCAAGAGGCAGAAGAGAACTGCATACCCAGAAGGGAAAATGACACAGTGAGAGCTCATGGATCAACCAGAGATGTAAAGAGGCAAAAAAGAATGGCAAAAGAGCATGACAGAACTATAGAGAAACAGGGAGAGACAAGAATAAAGATGAGCAGATTAGCAAGAAATGAATGTGCAAGGATGAGGAGTGAGTTTGAGTGACAATTTTAGAATGACACAGCAACCAAGGCTAAATATGAATCAAAACTGCTTCACAGCCCCATCAGGAGAAAGAGAGGAGGAGACCTTATGAAGCATGACAAGGAAGTCTGCAAAACATTGAATGAATAATTTAAGGAGGTTTTCTCAGTGAAAATAGGCAATACCAGAAAGCCTACAGGAGAGTTTACACCAAAAGGTATTGTACACTATACACACAATGCATACACACAACAGAGATGCAAGAAGAGAACTTTCTTGGAAGCAAAAGACAAATTTAAAGAAGGGAAAACATCTGTAGCACCTTAGCTGTAATATCAGCATGCCTCTGGCAAGACAGTGATGGAGTGAGTGATGGTGAAAATGTTTCTTCTATTTCTGATCATCCTATTTCGGCGAGAGATGACTGGTATGTTAAAAAAATATGCAATTTCTTTCATGTTTTCCCTTTTAAATCCCTCTTCTGTCCTAAGAAACTGCTCTTATCTTCTATTATTGGTACAGTAGTGTATTATTCCTCATTTAAGTCTGCCCAATATGCAGTACATAACTATGGGCTTTTTCAAGTAAGAAATAAATACTGTTAACTTATGTTTGTAACACTAATGTATCTTCTTGGAATTTTTATTATTATTATTATTACTACTACTACTACTACTATAACTACTTACCTAGTGAAAAGTGAGCATCCCATTATCATCTCAGCCATGATTATGCCAAGAGACCAAACATCCCATGCTGGATTACCAGTTACTGTAGCCCCACCAGTTCCTCCTTCCTGGTTCCATCCCTGCAGCAGGATCTCTGGTGCTGTATACTGAATGCTCCTAAGGATGGAAACAGTGTAAAGAAAGAACTAAAGCAAATTAGTTCATGGAAAACCAGAATTATTGATTTAATCTTACTAGTCTAAAATTTTCATGCATATAACAAAATTATGTAATAAATAATGTGATAAACAACAAGATACCCCAACAGCCCCTGGGTTCTCTACTGTGGAAAAAGTAAATGGCTGCCCCTCTCTCTACTGATACTTCTTTGTGAAATTCACCAGGATGTATCAGTAGAGAGAGAAAGGTTTGCCTTTCATATATCCTCCACATGTAGAAATACTGAGGTTTACAATGAAAGATTACTTTAAGAATACCACAAATCTTAGTAAACTAACCCAAGAGGGAAGGAAACTGCAGTACCAGCTTCTGTCATATAAAATAGACCATAATTATATAACTTGGCTTGACCACATGGATCAATCAAGATGTTATCTGGACTTAAATTACAGTTGACAGTTCCAAAATTGTTAAGGTACACAAGTCCTTGAATCACCTGAAAGATAAAGATATCATATTAATATGCAATCATAAACATTAAGTAAGTAGAGCATCTGAGATAATGCTGCTATTACATACAGGACATCAATAATCTGGCATTCTTAATACATTAATTCCACAGTAATCATAATATTGATGGTATACAGTACTGATGAATAAACAAGGACTTTTGATATTTTCTCTTTTTTTTTCAACATACTGGCCGCTTCCCACCGAGGCAGGGTGACCCAAAAAGAAAGAAAAAACTTTCATCATCATGCAACACTTTCACCCTCAGTCATATATAATCAATGCCTTTGCAGAGGCACTCAGATACAACAGTTTAGACGTCCCTCCAGATTGCCAATATCCTAAACCCCTCCTTTAAAGTGCAGGCATTGTACTTCCCATTTCCAGGACTTAAGTCCAAAAATTTTTCTCATTCTCAGCAAAATTTCTTGACAGTGCCTCTCCCACTATCAACTGCACTCTCTTCACCTTTCTTTCACTCTCCATATATACTCTGCCCTTCTTATATCACTTCTGCTTTGTAAAAACCTCTCATAAGCTACCTTTTTCTCTTATTGCACCCTTTACCCCATCATTCCACCAATCACTCCTTCCTCCTGTACCCACCCTCTATAGCCACAAACTTCTGCCCCACATTCTAATACTGCATTTTTAAAACTATCCCATTCCTCTTCAGTCCCTCCACTACCCATACTGTACTAGCCCACCTTTCTGCCAGAAGCTGCTTATATCTCACTCTAACTTCCTCCTCCCTTAGTTTATAAACTTTCACTTCTCTCTTATTTACTGTTGCCATTTTCCTTTTGTCCCATCTACCTTTTACTCTAACTGTAGCTACCACTAGATAATGATCCAATATATTCATTGCCCCTCTATAAACATGTACATCCTGAAGCCTACCCATCAACCTTTTATCCACCAATACATCATCTAACAAACTACTTTCATTACATGCTATATGATATCTTGTATACTTATTTATCTTCTTTTTCATAAAATGTGTATTACTTATTCCCAAACCTCTTTCTACGCACAGTTCAATTAAGGCTCCCCATTTTCATTTACCCCTGGCACCCAAATTTAGCTACTACTCCCTCTACAACATTTTTACCCACTTCAGTATTGAGATCCCCAACCACAAGTACAGTGGACCCTCAACCAACGATGGCATCGTCTAACGTTAAATCCGACTAGCGATACATTTTAACGTAAAAATTTTGCCTCGACTAGCACTAAAAAATTCAACCAACACGATTTGTTCTGTTCGAGACGCGTCCACTTGTGGCCAGTGTTTACAAGCCAGCCAGCCACCGCGGTCCCATCCAAACATACAATCGGAACATTTCATATTATCACAGCGTTTTTAGTGATTGCACCTGCAAAATAAGTCACCATGGGCCCCAAGAAAGCTTCTAGTGCCAACCCTACAGCAAAAAGGGTGAGAATTACTATGGATATGAAGAAAGAGATTATTGCTAAGTATGAAAGTGGAGTGTGTGTGTCTCTGAGCTGGCCAGGTTGTACACAAAACCCCAATCAACCATCGCTACTATTGTGGCCAAGAAAACAGCCACAGAGGTCCAGTGACTCTCAAGCTGGTCCTAGTGGCATTAAAAGAAGAAGGGAAGTAACCCCGGAAAAAGGACTTGACACCTCAAGTCCTAATGGAAGGGGATTCCCCTTCTAAACACTAACACCATCCACACTCTCCCCTCCTCCCATCCCATCAATCATCACCAGATCTTCAATAAAGGTAAGTGTCATGTAATTGTACATGTCTTCTTCAGTTCGTGTGTATTAAAATTAATATTTCATGTGGTAAATTTTTTTTTTTTCAATACTTTTGGGTGTCTTGCACGGATTAATTTGATTTCCATTATTTCTTATGTGGAAAATTAACTCGACTAATGATAATTTCGATTAACGATGAGCTCTCAGGAACAGATTAATATCGTTGGTCGAGGGTCCACTGTACTCTCTCACTTGGTTCAAAACTCCCCATGCACTCACCCAACATTTCCCAAAATTTCTCTCTCTCCTTTACATTTCTCTCTTCTCCAGGTGCACAAAAGCTTACTATAACCCACTTTTCACCTCCAAACCTTATTTTAATCCACATAATCTTTGAATTTATACATTTATAGTCCTTCTTTTCCTGCCATAACTTATCCTTCAACACTATTGCTACTTCTTCCTTAGCTTTAACTCTATTAGAAACCCCTGACCTAATCCCATGTATTTCTCCCCACTGAAACTGTCCTACACACTTTGTTTCACGCTTTGTTTCACTTAGAGCCAGGACATCCAGCTTCTTTTCATTCATAACATCCACAATCATCTCCTTATCATTCGCACTACAACCACACACATTCATACATCCCACTTTGATGGTTTTTTCTTTCTCTTTTTAGTAGGTTATACGGGAAAAGGGGTTACTATCCCATTGCTCCTGGCATTTTAGTTGACTTTTACAATACAAATGGCTTACGGAGGAAAGATTCTTATTCCACTTCCCCATGGATGTGAAAGGAAAAGTAATAAGAACAAGAACTACTAAGATAAAATCAAAGAAAACTCAGATGAGTGTGTATACATAAACGTGAACATGCACGTGTAGTGTGACCTAAGTGTAAGTAGAAGTAGCAAGACGTACTAAAATCTTGCATGTTTATGAGACAAAAAAGACACCAGCAATCCTACCATCATGTAAAACAAATACAGGCTTCCATTTTACACTCATCTGGCAGTACAGTAGTATCTCCCTGGGCGGTTGCTGTCTACCAACCTACTAGAACCTACTTTCAACATACGTATACTGTTATATTTTCTTATAACATGAATATCAGCATATTTACTGATGAATTCTGCTTTCTGTGATCTGAAAAATGATCCTGAGTTTGCAATGTGGTGTTGTTGAAAAAGGTTGGCTACAACCTCTTGGTGACATTTATCAAAATCAAACTAGTCAAGTTCATCAATCCCTGTTACATCACATCTTGGCTTTCTTCATTAGACTCGATGCTACTAGCAAACTAGTTGCATTCTCTGAGTTCTTGAGATGCTGAGCTCTTTCCTGAGGTTCTTTCAGGTCAAGATTTGTTTATATTGGGATCTAGAAATATGTTGAGTATTGTGCTGCAGTCAGTGGATCACTGTGTGGTATCCCAACATGAGAATCTTGGATCACTTTGTGTGGTATCCAAGCATGAAAATCTTGGATCACTGTGTGGTATCCAAGCATGAGAATCTTGATCTTGTGGTATCAGATAACTTGGTCACTTTGTGGCATCCAAGCATAAGAATCTTGGATCACTTTGTGTGGCATCCAAGCATGAGAATCTTGGATCACTTTGTGTGGTATCCAAGCATGAGAATCTTGGATCACTTTGTGTGGTATCCAAGCATAAGAATCTTGGATCACTTTGTGTGGTATCCAAGCATAAGAATCTTGGATCACTTTGTGTGGTATCCAAGTATAAGAATCTTGGATCACTTTGTGTGGTATCCAAGCATAAGAATCTTGGATCACTTTGTGTGCTGCCCAAGCATAAGAATCTTGGCTCACTTTGTATGGTATCCAAGCATAAGAATCTTGGCTCACTTTGTGTGGCATCCAAGCATAAGAATCTTGGATCACTTTGTGTGCTGCCCAAGCATGAGAATCTTCGATCACTCAAAGCTTTGTCAATAAAATGTTTCAAATATTGTGCTGACACCGTATTTGAGACCAAACAATTTTTTTCACTAAGTTATATAGTTGTTTTGTCAAATATTTTAATCCAACTCCATTGTTCCACAGAACCAAATTCTTAGCTATTTCACTAGTATGCCTTCTGTTCCACCAATTGAGAACCAGAAACTACCCATTCAAATGCAGAGAAGTAGGTTATTTGGCCAATTTTACACAAAATAAAAAAATTTCACTTTAAAAATAGAGCCCAAAATAAACAATGTAGCCATACCAGACACTAAAACAACATTTATTCTGTTCATTAATCACATCACCATGCCTATCTACTTGCCTTCCACTTCAAATTCATACACACACAAAAAAATTGAAGATTTACTCTTTTTCTTGGATAATAAAATATAACCAGGAATGACTGGTCATGGTTTACAACATCCCAATAACTGAATTAGATCTATTAACCCTTTCAGGGTTTTGGCCGTACTAGTACGACTTACGTGCCAGGATCCTTGATGTACTAGTACTCATAAATTCTAGCGCCTTCAAATCTAGTGAGAGAAAGCTGGTAGGCCTACATATGAAAGAATGGGTCTATGTGGTCAGTGTACGCAGTATAAAAAAATCCTGCAGCACACAGTGTGTAATGAGAAAAAAAAAACTTTGACCGTGTTTTTGGATTAAAACAGCGACTTTGCACTGTATTTTCGTATGGTATTTATTGTTGTATTCTAGTTTTCCTGGTCTCATTTGATAGAATGGAAGACATATTACAGAAATTGAGATGATTTTGACTGGTTTTACAATGAAAAGTATCTTGAAATTGAGCTCAAAGTAGCAGAAATGATCGATTTTTACCAAAGTTCAAAAGTAAACAAATCATGCTAAGCGTCCAATACAGGTCAACTGGTGAGTCTAATATTCTTTCACAAGTGCACCGATATTATTTATACCATTTCTACACTAATGCAGTAGTCTGCATAACAGTAAATCTTCTATTTTTTGTGAGAATAAAAATTCAAAATGGAAAGCAAAAGAATGTAAAAGGGGCATGGGGACGTGACTAATGAACAGAGGAAATGTTATTTTAGTGCCAGGAATGTCTTTCTTGTTTATTCTGGACCCTATTTGGAAATTGACATCTTTTAAAATTTGTGGGAAATTGGCAAAATTGCTAAATTCTGACCAGATAGTTGAAATCGGTAAATGGGTGGTTTCTTGTACTCATTCAATAGAAAAAATGGAGTTCTAGCGAAATAGGTATGATTTTTGTTGAATAGTGCACTGCAATTGGCTGAAAACAGGGCTCAAAGTGGGCAAAATCGCCGATGCGTAAACATGGTCGAGACCACTAACTTCGCGAGAGCATAATTCCGTAAGTTTTCCATCAAATTTCATACTTTTGGTGTCGTTATGATCGGGAAAATATTCTCTATCTTTTCATAAGAAAAAATAATTTTTTTTTTTAAATTTGGGGGACCCTGAGAATAAGTCTCTGAGAGGGCCTGTGGACCCTGAAAGGGTTAAAAACCCATAAAACAGACTAGGGGTATAAGGGGGCCTTACCCATCCTCAGGAAAATCAGAAAAATATCTTTATTTCCTCTTTATTTCAGTAGTATATCTTCCATTCTATCAAATGATACCAGAAAACAGCCACAAAAGACATAAAAACCATCCTAGAAAACACCTCAGTCACTATTTTAAACCAAATACAAGCTTGGTCAAAACTTTGCTTTTCCCATCATGCATCACGTGGGGTAGGATTTTTTAAAACTGTGTACACTCACCGCACAGACCCATGCTCTGATATCTAGGCCAGAATACACCACTCACAGGGAGCTGTGCAAAAAATGTAAATCTACGTGAGGGACCCCTTGCATCAATAATGCAGATCTATGTGACAGCCATTCAAGGGGTTAATGCAAACACCCTGAGTAAACTATCATCTTACCTGATGAGCTACTCGAGCAAGACCCCGGTGACTCCTAATTTCTGGATACTTCTGTACAGCTGTCCGTAAGTTCATTAGATAATATTCTTGTATCACCATAATTCTCTCTGCAACATTACATTTTATAGAGATAGAAAATATGCATAGTGAGGTGTAACACATTTAAGTAATTAAAGTAGTTATTACAGCAACAGCTATCACTAACAATAATACAGTACAGCCTCTCCTCACTTAACGACAGAGTTCCGTTCCTAAGACCACGATACACAAATAACCTGCACATAAAAGAGAGAAGCTTACGACGATGTGCGGGTTATTTGTGTATTGTTCCAGTCACGGTATTGTGCCTTTTTGTTATTTAAGACCACGATGTTAAACAAATTTGTCGCTAAATGAGGAGCATACTATAATGGTAGTGGGTTTGTGTCACCCATCTTTGATATTGTTTTAATGTCACCTTTGCACCATTTATAACATTTCTGGTACATGTATATTTTTAAATGTTTATACAGTAGTATACTTATACTTAAAATAAACAGAATAAAGGAAATCAGCTCTAATATACATTATTTAAAAAATTAGGACACTTATGCAACATATGAGAATCTTTATTGAAGAAACGTTTCACCACACAGTGGCTTCATCAGTCTTATACAAAGCAGGAAGGTATAAAGAGAGGAGGAGTTGGAGGTAATCAGTCCCTCAGCCTGGAGTCGATGTGTTCAGTCCATCGAAGCCATTCATCACATACATTATTTAGGTATAAATACTGGTCAAAGAGCCCGTCATAAGTCCGAGGCGTCAGTAAACGAGTATGTCGCTAAGTGAGGAGAGGCTGTACTGACATTCGCCAGAATAAAGAGAGATTTAGGACACACACACAGCCATTAAACCAGAAAACCATTGGATAATCAAATCTATACCCAAGTTGCCCATTATTAAAAACATTAGGTAAAAACTTGCAAATAAGGGAGCCTCTGAATTTGTAGGTATGACCAAGCATATCTTCTTAAACAGTACGGATGAAATTAATCTTACTACATATTGTATAATAAAAATTAAAAAGTAAAATTTAACTGATAGAAACTTTATCTGTAGTTATATTATACAAGTGTTTTGGTTTATTATTAGTAATGCTGAATCCTCCAGAGCAACTTGAAATATACATATATGAGCTCAGTCATATAGTAAAGCCAAATGACACCTGTTCACCTAGCAAGAAGGAATTATGGCACCGAGGAGTTAGTTGACTTTGTGACTAACATCCTTATCTAAAGAACCAAAGGACCTCAAGAGAAAATGTCACATTGGCATTCTTAGGTAATTGTGGTTAATAACTCTTCGGATTTAATAATTCAAGGAAAGTATTTTTCTCCAAGTTATTCCAAAACCTCACAAGCCTCAACATTTATAATGTATATTCATTTACTTGATGTGAAAGCAAACAGACCACTGGCTAGGATATGATGTTTTGGCAAAGATTCAAACTCAACCAATAGGAAACAGGATTAAGGTTAGCTCAGACCTTGATGAACAAAGGATTAAGCATATATCACCTATTTAGACCTAATAGCTACCATACATTTTTGATGCTTTATTAATGGATGCTTCAAAGGACAAACACTGGAATATTTCATTACAAATAGATATCTAATTACAGAATACAGTATCAATTTATTACTAGATTTAAAAAAAAAATGCTCACCATGTTTTCCCCTGTGAATATCCACATAAGAGCATAAGTGGGGATGGTTGATGAGGTGCAAGGCTTGTGCACGCCCATAGATTCTAATTGAATTCGGTGTGAGCGGCAAGCCATTGCTGCCACAAGACTCACTTGGGTGAGCAGAGGCAAAGAATGTGGATGCACCAAGGTGTGCCAAACCCAACTTTGGACTGGCTGGGTACATTTTTGTACTTTTCTAACAACTCAGGCACTCTGTGGACAAAAAAAAAAGCACACATATTACCATACATAGACTAAGAATTTTACTAAGAAAGAATTTTCTTATAGTATAATAAGATTCCTAATTAATGATCTAAAGAATTTTTTTTAGTTAGATATTGATTTACAGTTTTCAGATTCATTAATTTTTTTTATTTTAATCAATAAGAAGCACTAAACTTACTTACTTAAACCTGATAAATTAGACACATATGCAACACTTGGATATCTTTAATGAGGAAACGTTTCGCCACACAGTGGCTTTATCAGTCCATACAAAGAAGAATCGTGAAGAACAGGAGGAGTTTGAGGTAATCAGTCCCTCAGCCTTAAGTCAATGTAATCAGTCCATCAATCTTGAAAAGAATACAGCCTATGTGCGAAGAAGTGGCTTATATACTATAGGCAGATGATGAGGTGCAGCAGTCGTAGGTGGTAACACATTTGTCCAATGTGGAAGTAGGTCGTGCCCAAGGGTTAGGCAAGTGAGATAAGATAAGATAAGATAAGATTTCGTTCGGATTTTTAACCCCGGAGGGTTAGCCACCCAGGATAACCCAAGAAAGTCAGTGCGTCATCGAGGACTGTCTAACTTATTTCCATTGGGGTCCTTAATCTTGTCCCCCAGGATGCGACCCACACCAGTCGACTAACACCCAGGTACCTATTTGCTGCTAGGTGAACAGGACAACAGGTGTAAGGAAACGTGTCGAATGTTTCCACCCGCCGGGAATCGAACCCGGGCCCTCCGTGTGTGAAGCGGGAGCTTTAGCCACCAGGCTAGTTGCAGTGTCAGACAGGATTGTATATGAATGGTTCAGAGAACTGACAAGTTGATAAATTAGATACATGTGCAACAGCATATAGTAAGTTACTATATGCTGTAAAGAGTTTTTATGTGGTTAGCGAGGCTCAGGTTAGGGAGTGTAGGAGAGAGGGAGATTACTTCCCGGTAAAAGTAGGTCTTAGACAGGGTTGTGTAATGTCACCATGGTTGCTTAATATATTTGTAGATGAGGTTATAAAAGAAGTAAATGATAGGGTGTTGGGGAGAGGGGTGGGATTAAATTATGGGGAATCAAATACAAAATGGGAGTTGACACAGTTACTTTTTGCTGATGATTCTGTGCTAATGGGAGATTCTAAAGAAAAGTTGCAAAGGTTAGTTAGTGGATGAGTTTGGGAGGGTGTGTAAAGGTAGAAAGTTGAAAGTGAACATAGATAAGAGTAAGGTGATGAGGGTATCAAATGATTTAGATAAAGAAAAATTGGATATCACATTGGAGAGAGGGAGTATGGAAGAAGTTAATGTTATCAGATACATGTATTTGGGAGTTGACTTGTCAGCAGATGGGTTTATGAAGGATGAGGTTAACCACAGAATTGATGAAGGAAAAAAGGTGAGTGGTGCATTGAGGTATATGTGGAGACAAAGGGAAAGAAGGGAATGCATGAAAGTATAGTGGTACCAACACTCTTATATGGGTGTGAAGCTTGGGTTGCAAATGCTGCAGCGAGGAGTCAGCTGGAGGTAGTGGAGATGTCCTGTCTAAGGGCAATGTGTGGTGTAAATATTATGCAGAGATTTCGGAGTGTGGAATTAGGAGGAGGTGTGGAGTTACTAAAAGTATTAGTCAGAGAGCTGAAGAGGGGCTGCTGAGGTGGTTTGATCATTTAGAGAGAATGGATCAAAGTAGAATGGCTTGGAGAGTATATAAATCTGTAGGGGAAAGAAGGCAGGGTAGGGGTCATCCTCGAAAAGGTTGGAAGGAGGGGGTAAAAGAAGGTGTTGTGGGCGAGGGGCTTGGACTTCCAGCAAGCATGTGTGAGCATGTTAGATAGGAGTGAATGGAGATGAATGGTTTTTGGGACCTGACGAGCTGTTGGTGTGTGAGCTGGATAATATTTTGTGAAGGGATTCACGGAAATTGGCTAGCCGGACTTGAGTCCTGGAATTGGGAAATGGAAATGGGAGGTTGGAGGTTGACTTTTAAACTGTTGTATCTGAGCGCCTCTGCAAAGACAGTGATTATGTATGAGTGAGGTGAAAGTGTTGAATGATGAAAGTATTTCCTTTCTGGGAATTTTATTTCTTTTTAGGTCACCCTGCCTCGGTGAGAGACGACCAATGTGTTGAAAAAAAAAAATGTAGTAGGCACAATAATATGAGTGTATGTCTCATATATTTAGCAAGTTCAGGCTTCTGAAAAGTCGTGGGTTGTGTTGTCTAGCACAGGAGCTGGTAATCATCTGCACAGCAGCTTTTTATTGGGTTATTAAAGGTTTAACCCCTTGACTGTCGCAACTCCCAATCCTGAGGTGTCTCCTGGTGTCGCAAAATTTGAAAAAAAAAAAAATTATTTTTTCTTATGAAATGATAAGAGAATCTTTTCCCGATTGTAATGACACCAAAAAAAATTAAATTTGATGGAAAACTGACGGAATTACGCTCTCACGAAGTTAGCGACCTCGGCGATATTTACAAATCGGCAATTTCGCCCACTTTGAGCCCTATTTTCGGCTAATTCCACTGTTCCAGTCGACCAAACTCATAGCTATTTCTTTAGAAACTGCCCATTTACCGATTACAACTACCCAATAACATGGTCAGAAATTTCCAATTTGGCCAATTTCACGAAAATAAAAGAATATGACAATTTTAAAATAAGGACCAGAATGAACAATGCAGACATTCCTGGCTCTAAAATAACATTTTCTTTGTTCATCAGTCATGTCTCCAGGCCCCTGTGATATTACTCTTGCTTTCTATTTTGAATTTTTATTCAAACAAAAAATAGAAGATTTACTGTTATGCAGACTACTGCAATACTGTAATAATTGTATAAATAACATCAACCCATTCATGACTGCATATTAGAATGGCTAGTTGAACATTTATTGGACAATGACATCATTTGTTTATCTTTGAACATCGGCAAAAATCAAACATTTCCCGTACTTTGAGCTCCATTTCCAGGTTCTTTTTATAGTAAAATCAATCAAAATCACCTCGATTTCTATAAAATATTTTCCATTCTATCAAATGAGACCAAGAAAACGAGAATACAACCATAAATACTATACGAAAATAGACCACAAAGTCGGCATTTTAATTAAAAAAAACGGTCGGAGTTTTTTTTTCTCATTATGCACTGCGTGCTCCAGGATTTTTTTTGTATGGTGCACACTGACCACACAGACCCATTCTCTCACATGTGGGCCTACCAGCTTTCTCCTGCTTGATTTGAAGCTGGGCCGCGGGGGCGTTGACCCCCGGAACTCTCTCCAGGTAAACTCCAGGTAAATATGTCAAACATGGTACCTCATAAGACGTATATATACGGCCGCGATAGTCAAAGGGTTAAAGTGGTTGGTTGTGGTTGATCCCGAGGCATAAATACCATAGGTGAGGTAGGGATATATTAAAGAGTGGTATAGGGTAAGAAGTGTCATTTGGGGTACATAGTATCATATTTTGGAAAGGATGCCTACTGACCTGGAAATTTTCTTGGATATATGCTGGATGTGAGACTAAAATTTAAGATTACAGTCAAGGAGAAGACCTAGAAATTTACCCTCAATGTGTCTTGAAATAGGGAAACCATTTATTGATATGTTAAGTTGTATATTTAAGGCTCTGTTTCCAAACAGCATGAAGTATGCTTTGTCTATGTTGAGAGTGAATTTGTTGGTCATCATCCAAGTATATATTTTTAGCAGCTTGTTGTTTACAGTGTTTCTAAGTATAGCTGGGTCTGTGTGGGAGTTGTCATAAGTACTGTCATCTGCGAATAGAACTGGTTTAAGGAGTTGGGATGGTGCCCCATGGACTGATCGCTAAAGCTCTCTTTTTACATGGCGAGGGTCTGTGCTCGATTCCCAGCATGGGTAGAAACACTGGGCGTGTTTCTTTACACCAGTTGTCCATGTTAACCCATCAGTAATATGGGTACCTTCGCATTAGTCGGCTGGCGTGGGTCGCATCCTGGGACAAGGCCCTAATTTACCCGAAATGCTCTGCATAACAAGGGGCTTTCTATATATTAGTATGTCACTGATGTCAGCTAGGCCTGTATACCATGTACATGTACTTGTAGTAAATAAAGATATTATTATTGGGGAGATCAATGATGTAGATGAGAAAGAGGAGTGGGCTTAGGACACTACCCTGGGGCATTCCAACAGCTACAGGCTGGATAGAGGAATTGACTCCATTTGCATATACATATTGGAGTTTACCTGGAGAGAGTTCTGGGGGTCAACGCCCCCACAGCCCGGTCTGTGATCAGGCCTCATGGTGGATCAGAGCCTGATAAACCAGGCTGCTACTGCTGGCCGCACGCAATCCAACATACGAACCACACCCCGACTGGTCAGGTACTGACTTTAGGTGCCTGTCCAGTGCCTGCTTGAAGACAGCCAGGGGTCTATCGGTAATCCCCCTTATGCATGCTGGGAGGCAGTTGAACAGTCCTGGGCCCCGGACACTTGTTGCATTGTCTCTTAACGTGCTTTAGGCACCCCTGCTTTTCATTAGGGGGATTTTGCATCGTCTGCCGAGTCTTTTGCTTTCGTAGGAAGTGATTTTCATGTCCAAGTTTGGTACTAATCCCTCTAGGATTTTCTAGGTGTATATAATCATATATCTCTCCCGCCTGCATTCCAGGGAGTACATGTTCAGGAACTTCAATCGTTCCCAGTAATTGAGGTGCTTTATCTCAGTTATGCATGCCATGAAGGTTCTCTGTACATTTTCTAGGTCAGCAATTTCACCTGCCTTGAAAGGTGCTGTTAGTGTGCAGCAATATTCCAGCCTAGATAGAACAAGCGAACTGAAGAGTGTCATCATGGGCTTGGTGTCTGTCTTTAAGATAAAATTTTAGGTAATCAAGGGAATGTCCTCTGATGCCGAAATGATTTAGTTTTAGGTGCAGGAGATTGTGGTCCACTGTATCATAGGTCAATGAAGAGCCCCCAGAGGATATTCATTTTTATCAAGGGCTGTATATGTAAGTTCAAGCATTTGTATAATAGCATCGTTTGCACTTTTTTTTGGTCTAAACCCAAACTGGCATGGGTTAAGTACGTTGTTGGATATAAGGTAGGAGTAAAGTCAGTTGTGTATTATTTTCTCGAATATTTTAGAAAGTAAGGGCAAGTTTGATATAGGTCTATAGTTCAAATTCAAATTCAAAGTTTATTCTCTATAAGGATTACAAGTTCAAGTCAGCTGGATAACCTCCTTTGAGGATTAGGGTAACCCTTGCTGTCTTGAGTATGGATGGGAGGGTTGAGGACTCTACAGATTTGTTAAACATTGTTGCAATAATGGGTGATAGCACATGTGCAGCTTTTTTATGTATGAATGGTGGCAAGTTATCCACATCTCCTGCTTTGTTTTTAATGATGAGTGAGACTTCAGTAGAATTAGTTGAAGCTAGATATAGAGTATTTGGGTAGTTGCCAGTGAGGTAGTCTTTTGGCTGGGTATTTGAGCTAGAAATTTACTTGCAAGCTTTGATCCTACCGTAGAGAAGAAGAAATTAAATTTGTTGGCTGTGTCTATAGGCTGTATGTGAGGTTCATTAATGTTTTGGCTACACAGTACATTATGTAGATTTAACCTAAGATAACAAAATACAGTTAACAATGTGACTCAATTCATATGTGTATTTGGTTGACCATTTTTTTTAAAGAGGGAGGGGCTGAATTTTTAGGGATGCCAAGCCCATGATGACACTCTTCAGGTCACTTGTTCTATCTAGGCTGGAATATTGCTGCACACTAACAGCACCTTTCAAGGCAGGTGAAATTGCTGACCTAGAAAATGTACAGAGAACCTTCATGGCGCGCATAACGGAGATAAAACACCTCAATTACAGGGAGTGCTTGAAGTTCCTGAACCTGTATTCCCTGGAATGCAGGCGGGAGAGATACATGATTATATACACCTGGAAAATATTAGAGGGACTAGTACCGAACTTGCACACGAAAATCACTCACAACGAAAGCAAAACTCTGCAGACGATGCAACATCCCCCAATGAAAAGCAGGGGTGTCACTAGCACGTTAAGAGACAATACAATAACTGTCAGGGGCCCGAGACTGTTCAACTGCCTCCCAGCATGCATAAGGGGGATTACCAACAGACCCCTGGCAGTCTTCAAGCAGGCACTGGACAAGCACCTAAAGTCGGTACCTGACCAGCCGGGCTGTGGTTCGTACGTTGGATTGCGTGCAGCCAGCAGTAACAGCCTGGTTGATCAGGCCCTGATCCACCATGAGGCCTGGTCACAGACCGGGCCGCGGGGGCGTTGACCCCCGGAACTCTCTCCAGGTAAACTGCAGGTAAACAGTAATTATTCAAATACAGAAGCACTACTCAGGGATCATTCAGCTTCTGAAGCAGCTGTTGATATACTGTAGTTAAATAATTACCTTGACTGAAATTAATAATTACCATAACAAAATCCATCATGATTATAAACTTTTCACTGCAATTCCAGTTATACTGCAACTTGTTCAGGTAATATTATAATTAGGGGAAGTACTAAACCTATAGGGGTCAAAGAACAAGTGGGGAATGGGAGGCAATCATAGTTCAATCTAAAGAACTGAAGAACAGATCCAATTCCTTGGATTAAGAGCCCTTCACCAGGTTCTAGGAACCTCTCCTGAAATACGTTGAGTTAATACTACACTGAAGCCATTAGTCAGTTAAGTTTATTTGGGCACAGGTACACATATCGATTATCATACGTAGTGTAAATAACCCACCTCCTTCAAAATAAAAAAAAAATGTCAAAGTGACTTACTCAGTAAGATGACTACCGCCCACCGTGCATGTGACACAATACAATTTACAACCCTACCCACCTACTTAATGCCTAAAATAACAATGTACTGTGTATTTAAATGCATGAACGTCCATTACCCTAGTTTTCGCTGCTATAATTTACTTGTCAGCCTCAAATGATGAATATACAACAGAGGAACATCGTCAATGTTTACGTTGGTGATGATGATGATGATGTGACTGACATGCGGAGAAGCCGCTCACCCTCACCAACCCTCCCTCCCTCCCCTCAGTGGTCAGAACTAACCTCAGTAGTTAGCACTACCCTCAGTGGTCAGCACTACCCTCAGTAGTTATTAGCACTACCCTCAGTGGTCAGCACTACCCTCAGTAGTAGTACTATCCTCAGTAGTTAACACTACCTTCGGCAGTCAGTACTACCCTCAGTAGTCAGCACTACCCTTAATAGTTAGCACTACCCTCAGTAGTTAGCACTACCCTCAGTAGTCAGCACTACCCTCAGTAGTCAGCACTACCCTCAGTAGTTAGCACTACCCTCAGTAGTCAGCACTACCCTCAGTAGTTAGCACTACCCTCAGTAGTTAGCACTACCCTCAGTAGTTAGCACTACCCTCAGTAGTTAGCACTACCCTCAGTAGTTAGCACTACCCTCAGTAGTCAGCACTACCCTCAGTAGTCAGCACTACCCTCAGTAGTTAGCACTACCCTCAGTAGTTAGCACTGCCCTCAGTAGTTAGCACTACCCTCAGTAGTTAGCACTACCTTCAGTAGTTAGCATTACCCTCAGTAGTTAGCACTACCCTCAGTTGTCAGCACTACCCTTAGTAGTCAGCACTACCCTCAGTAGTTAGCACTACCCTCAGTAGTTAGCACTACCCTCAGTAGTTAGCACTACCCTCAGTAGTTAGCACTACCCTTAGTAGTCAGCACTACCCTCAGTAGTTAGCACTACCCTCAGTAGTTAGCACTACCCTCAGTAGTTAGCACTACCCTCAGTAGTCAGCACTACCCTCAGTAGTTAGCACTACCCTCAGTAGTCAGCACTAACCTCAGTAGTCAGCACTACCCTCAGTAGTCAGCACTACCCTCAGTAGTCAGCACTACCCTCAGTAGTTAGCACTACCCTCAGTAGTTAGCACTACCCTCAGTAGTTAGCACTACCCTCAGTAGTTAGCACTACCCTCAGTAGTCAGCACTAACCTCAGTAGTCAACACTACCCTCAGTAGTTAGCACTACCCTCAGTAGTTAGCACTACCCTCAGTAGTTAGCACTACCCTCAATAGTTAGCACTACCCTCAGTAGTTAGCACTACCCTCAGTAGTTAGCACTACCCTCAGTAGTCAGCACTAACCTCAGTAGTCAGCACTACCCTCGGTAGTTAGCACTACCCTCAGTAGTTAGCACTATCCTCAGTAGTTAGCACTACCCTCAGTAGTTAGCACTACCCTCAGTAGTCAGCACTACCCTCAGTAGTTAGCACTAACCTCAGTAGTTAGCACTAACCTCAGTAATCAGCACTACCCTCAGTAGTCAGCACTACCCTCAGTAGTTAGCACTAACCTCAGTAGTTAGCACTAACCTCAGTAGTTAGCACTACCCTCAGTAGTCAGCACTACCCTCAGTAGTTAGCACTACCCTCAGTAGTCAGCACTACCCTCAGTAGTTAGCACTAACCTCAGTAGTTAGCACTAACCTCAGTAGTCAGCACTACCCTCAGTAGTCAGCACTACCCTCAGTAATTAGCACTAACCTCAGTACTTAGCACTAACCTCAGTAGTCAGCACTACCCTCAGTAGTCAGTACTACCCTCAGTAGTCAGCACTACTCTCAGTAGTCAGTACTATCCTCAGTAGTCACCACTACCCTCAGTAGTCAGTACTACCTTCGGCAGTCAGTACTACCCTCAGTAGTCAGTACTACCTTCGGTAGTCAGTACTACCCTCAGTAGTCAGCACTACCCTCAGTAGTGAGCACTACCCTCAGTAGTCAGCACTACCCTCAGTAGTCAGCACTACCCTCAGTAGTCAGCACTACCCTCAGTAGTCAGCACTACCCTCAGTAGTCAGCACTACCCTCAGTAGTCAGTACTACCTTCGGCAGTCAGTACTACCCTCAGTAGTCAGTACTACCTTCGGTAGTCAGTACTACCCTCAGTAGTCAGCACTACCTTTAGCAGTCAGCGCTACCCTCAGTAGTCAGCACTACCCTCAGTAGTCAGTACTACCTTCGGTAGTCAGTACTACCCTCAGTAGTCAGCACTACCCTCAGTAGTCAGTACTACCTTCGGTAGTCAGTACTACCCTCAGTAGTCAGCACTACCCTCAGTAGTCAGCACTACCCTCAGTAGTCAGCACTACCCTCAGTAGTCAGCACTACCCTCAGTAGTCAGCACTACCCTCAGTAGTCAGCACTACCCTCAGTAGTCAGTACTACCTTCGGTAGTCAGTACTACCCTCAGTAGTCAGCACTACCCTCAGTAGTCAGCACTACCCTCAGTAGTCAGCACTACCCTCAGTAGTCATGACCATAACACAAGACACAGATCTCTTTTTGATATACCTCGTGTCCACATCACACTGTAAAAGCTCTGTGCACACTCTTCAGGTCACTTGTTCTATCTAGGCTGGAATATTGCTGCACTCTAACAGCACCTTTCAAGGCAGGTGAAATTGCCGACCTAGAAAATGTACAGAGAACTTTCACGGCGCGCATAACGGAGATAAAACACCTCAATTACTGGGAGCGCTTGAGGTTTCTAAACCTGTATTCCCTGGAACGCAGGAGGGAGAGATACATGATTATATACACCTGGAAAATCCTAGAGGGACTAGTACCGAACTTGCACACGAAAATCACTCACTACGAAAGCAAAAGACTTGGCAGACGATGCACCATCCCCCCAATGAAAAGCAGGGGTGTCACTAGCACGTTAAGAGACCATACAATAAGCGTCAGGGGCCCGAGACTGTTCAACTGCCTCCCAGCACACATAAGGGGGATTACCAACAGACCCTGGCAGTCTTCAAGCTGGCACTGGACAAGCACCTAAAGCCAGTTCCTGATCAGCCGGGCTGTGGCTCGTACGTTGGTTTGCGTGCAGCCAGCAGCAACAGCCTGGTTGATCAGGCGCTGATCCACCAGGAGGCCTGGTCACAGACCGGGCCGCGGGGGCGTTGACCCCCGAAACTCTCTCCAGGTAAACTCCAGGTAAAGGCTGCAGTTAGAATGATAACAAACTCTCACTACAGGCAACACACTCCACCAATATTCAAAACACTCAACCTACTCACCATACAAAACATCCATACTTATTACTGCACCTATTACATACATAGAACACTTAACTCTGATATTAACCCTCCCCTCAAACATCTCCTTGCCAACCTCAACAGAACACATGACCATAACACAAGGCACAGTCTTCAAGCTGGCACTGGACAAGCACCTAAAGTCAGTTCCTGATCAGCCGGGCTGTGGCTCGTACGTTGGTTTGCGTGCAGCCAGCAGCAACAGCCTGGTTGATCAGGCTCTGATCCACCAGGAGGCCTGGTCACAGACCGGGCCGCGGGGGCGTTGACCCCCGGAACTCTCTCCAGGTAAACAGATCACTCTTTGATGTTCCTCGTGTCCATCTCACGCTATGCAAAAACTCAATGCACATAAAAGGCCCTAAAATCCGGAATTCATTACCTGTAAATATAAAAGAAACTCTACCTGTTTATAAATTCAAGTCTCTTCTCAAAGATCACTTACTCACTCAAAACCAAATAAATACTGAATAACTGAACCTTATAAATTGTATATCCTAAATGTTACTCACAATTATATCACATAAATGTTAAACCTAGGACCCAATCTAACTTTGTTATTTTTTTAAATGCACTACCTAACAGAATACTCCATTCGACTGAATGTACAGCAATGCATGCAACCATATGACCTGTCTTTGTAATACTCATTTGTGCTTTATAGTTATCTGTTTACAATAATGTTTTATCACTGATTTCATCATTGCTTAGTTAATCTTAAGTTAATTTTAAGCCAGCCCGTAATGCTATGCATATAAGTGGCTTTGGCATGCTGCTCTTACCTGTATTTTTTGTACCTCTGTATGTATGCTAAAATTACTAAATAAATAAATAAATAAATAAATAAAGTCGGCCCATAATGCTTAGGCATAACAGAGGCTCTCTTTGCATTGCAACCCTTTATTGTAAATACATAATATCAATGTACTATTTGCAAAGACATAAATAAATAAATAAATAAATACTACCTGTAGAAAATACTGTATATTTTCCAAAAATACAGTGTATTTTATATGTAAATTGATGACCTATATTGTAGGTAATAAAAATTAATTTGTAAATAAAGAACCAGCGATGGGTGAGCGTCGCTGGGGAGGGGATGCCATTATTTTGAATGTGATAAAGGCATGTTAGAGAAATGTACATAAATTTTTGTCGCTCTAGGGGTTATATTGGGCTTAAAACCTCTCAAATAGGAGTCAAAATTGTTGGAATTGCAGTCCTGCATAACGTGAGCATTAAGCAGATGGACAGGACTGCTTCGGAATCCCAGCTAAGGGACAGAGGGGACAGTCGCGCGCGTTTGTGCTCCGTCAAAAACTGCGTGTCTTGATAGTAGCAGAGGGAACAGAATGCGGAAAATAAGCGTGTGCAACCATAAAGTGTATATACTCCTTTGAACAAGCAAAAAAGGAATATCAGTGAACACTAAATAGGAAAATAGGGAAATTATAGTGTCACATGGAGAGTGCCGGTGGAGAAACGGTTACCGGGGGAAATAGACCTGACCAGCACTAGTGAAATTATTGCCGGATGTCGACACAAGGGAAATAAACAAATATTGTTTCTTCTATAAGTAAAATAGTGAGTGACAAGGATATATATGTGCAGTGACATAGTGAACTAAATTGTAGATAAGAGAAATTTCTTGATTATCCCCCAGTATAGCGTACAATATATTTGGGTAGATAGGGAATACCTTTACAAGCGACTGGCACTAGCGAACTATTGCCAGAGGTCCAGTGAAAGTGTTAATAACAGATAAGTAACTACTATAGTCATAAGAGATGAAACGAGTGGTGTAGCATTGAGGTGCAGGGAATCACAGCATACATAAATTGAGCATACAACCGTTACCTCTACTAAACAGGAAATAATCTTTTCCTTAGAAGTGTAGGGGAAAGTTAGCATAGGC